AGTCATACAGGAGGGGGGGGGGGGGAGAGGCTGCAGAGACACAGTCACACAGGAGGGGGGGGGGGAAGAGGCTGCAGAGACACAGTCACACAGGAGGGGGGGGGTCCGAGGCTGCAGAGAGACACAGTCACACAGGAGGGGGGGGGGGGGAAGAGGCTGCAGAGACACAGTCACACAGGAGGGGGGGGGAGAGGCTGCAGAGACACAGTCACACAGGAGGGGGGGGAGAGGCTGCAGAGACACAGTCACACAGGAGAGGGGTGTGTGACGATTACGGCATCAGACACCAGCCCTTTCTCACCAAACTCATGACCAAAGGACTAGCCAATCTAAGACCGCGCTGTCATGTGCGTAACAATGCCACGCCCAGCTGCACCCTGCACAACGATTTTCCAGCTAATGGACCACAATTGATGTACCTGCAGCCTGAGAGCAATTGTTACTGGGTCAGGTTAATTACGCAATTAAACAGCGCAAAATAGACCTACATACAAATATTAGTAAATCACAAAACATAAATGTCCCATGTTCATTAGTGAATGTCTTATATCAAAAATCTTCAATAAAAACACCACAGGACCACTTGTGATGAGGACTGGGGATTCCAAATCATCTTAGGATCAAAGAAAATTTCCACCTATCACCCGGTGCACACCAACATCAAATGCACTCAACAGGTATTGGCAAATGAGAAGCCTTTAAGGATATTGGGGAATCCTAAACCCTCTTTTCATCAGCTCTATGGTAGCCTACACCACCAGGTTCAGATCTTCTTTCAGGTCCTCACCGCAGCTTTCTAATTTGCTCCACCGTATCACCAAAGAAAAAAAAAAAACTTATATAGTGTAATATTGCCTGATCAATATTGAGACAAAAGACAAAATCCAGGCCACTCACATTTTATCAGCTTGTAAAGGGCACACTTATTAAGCCAATACCAGCCTGATGATAAGAACCAGCTCACAGCCGCATATTCCAGGATTCTCACAACCATCTGGCTGGAATTTGTCTTTTGTCTCAATATTGATCTGGCAAATTAGAAAGCTGCAGTGAGGACCTGAAAGAAGATCTGAACCTGGTGGTGTAGGCTACCATAGAGCTGATGAAAAGAGGGTTTAGGATTCCCCAATATCCTTAAAGGCTTCTCATTCGCCAATATCTGGTGAGTGCATTTGATGTTGGTGTGCACAGGTGATAGGTGGAAGTTTTCTTTGATCCTAAGATGATTTGGAATCCCCAGTCCTCATCAAAAGTGGTCCTGTGGTGTTTTTATTGAAGATTTTTGATATAAGACATTCACTAATGAACATGGGACATTAATGTTTTGTGATTTACTAATATTTGTATGTAGGTCTATTTTGTGCTGTTTATTTATAAATATCACTATTTGTGTATTCACATTTTTGCACAGCAGCAATTTTAGAATATTGATTTATTTATTTTTTTGCATTGGCGCAGGAATATTTTCTAATTACGCAATTAACCCTTCACACTGCCAACACCACCTTTTTATACAGAGAAAGAGGAAACTCAGCAATATCAGCAATAACACTATGATGTTGGAATAAGCGTCTGTATACCACTGTCACCGCAGGCAGAGATATACCGAAATTTAAAACACACACAGTAGCGCTCTTCAGAGACGGGTTCTTAGTTTGCATTAAAGAGCTTTAGAAACAGTTCAACACTTTCAGAAAGTAAGATTTATTATTAAAAGGTCAAAAGGGTGCAATAAAAAAAAATATTTACAGAAAAGATGTAGCCAATATATATATATATATATAAATATACAGAAAGCAATAGCACAGCAAAGAGATAACAGAGAGAAGTTTAGAGGGATAAAGTACTTGCCGTCAGCCTTGGGGTAAGCAGCTTTCAAGTTTTTTGAGCAGAAGGGCGCCTTATCTCCCAAAGTTGGTTCCAATGTTAAAAAGGGAGAATTCTTCAACTAAAACTTAACTCCGCTCAGCTTTTTCTAGCAAACTCCACAGGGTGTCTCCCTGAAACAGAGAACCAATCGCCTCATTTGGGGAGGGAGTTGTAGGTGGAGACCTCAGGCTATGACCAAAGCCTGCTCAAATTATATTATGGTTCATAACTTACCCTGGACACATGTAATATTCTGTATATTGTCTGCGCTCCTGTATATGCCAGATAGGGGGTTTAATATACCAGGAGACTTGTATTAAAGTGAGCCTTCCGAATATGTGCTCCATGTTTAGGTAATTATGTCCTATTTGAAGATATAAACTTATATGAAAAAATGAGCTTTTAAATGTAAGTCTGTTTTTGCGACCCTCTGTAATGTCTTTGAGCTCAGTGAAGGACTTGGTTTATGGCTTTACTTTACGAGCCCTCTCCAGCAGGAGTCTCTTAGACAAAGGGGCACCAGATAGTGTGTGAGATTTATAACCATGACGCCCTCCCAATGAGTTTGCTGCCTGTGATCTCCATCAAACAGACCACATGTCACTTAACAGAGAGGGAGGGGGGATGAGGAAAGCTGATTTGGGAGAGAAACAAAATGGAGGGGTTTTGGGCAAAATGGATGATTACATCCACCTCTGTGTGCGGATGCTGCAGGGACACAGTCACAAAGGAGGGAGGGGGTGAGGCTGCAGGGACACACAGTCACAAAGAAGGGGGGGGGGGGGAAGAGAGGCTGCAGAGACACAGTCAAATTTTGTGGTGTCTAGTCTGATTAGATCATTTCCCACACTTTGTGACTTGTCAGTTGTCCAGAGAGGTCTTGTTTCTCACTTAAACATTTCTCGCACTAAATACATGACAGGGGAAGCTCAGCCAGATATCTAGGTAAATCCCGGCTAGGTCAGCACCCCGGGGTGATTTTTGCAATGCCTAATGAGACTATCTTTCCGAGCAAAACATTTTTCACACTTCGAACATGAGAACGGGCGCTCGCCCGTGTGCCTTCTTTGGTGCGTGATGAGGTTTCTTTTGTCACGGAACGATTTCTCGCACTCCACACATGAATATGGAAACTCCTTTGTGTGGATTTTCTGGTGTCTAAGAAGGTGTGCTTTCAGAGCGAAACATTTTCCACACTCCCTGCAAGAATACGGACGCAAACCAGCGTGAAATCTTTCATGTCTCATTAGGTTCTGTCTTCTCGTAAAACACTTCCCGCATTGCAAACATGAAAAAGGCCTCTCGCCCCGGTGCCCAATCTGATGTGTAAGAAGGTCTCCTCTCTGAGAGAAACATTTCCTGCACTCTAAACAACAATATGGCCGCACTCCAGTGTGAATCTTATTGTGCCTCATAAGACACTCTTTAAAGGCGAAACATTTCCCGCACTCTGAGCATGAAAAAGGTTTCTCGCCCGTGTGAATTTTAAAGTGCCTCACTAAATGCTCTTTCTGCATAAAAGACTGGTCACACTCCGTGCACACGTAGGGCCTTTCCCCCGTGTGGCATCTCAGATGCTTGCGAAGGTTGTACTTCTGTAAGAAAGATTTCCCGCACTCTGGGCAGGAATGTGGGCGCGCTCCGGTGTGATGACTTAGGTGTCTTGTAAGGTGGTATTTCGAAAGAAAACGTTTCCCGCACTCTTGGCAGGCATGCGGCCGCACTCCACTGTGGACTTTTGTATGACTGACAAGATGGGATTTTGAATAGAAACATTTCCCGCACTCAGGACATGGGAACGGTCGCTCTTTTGCGTTCTCCTTCTGATGTACAGAGAGAACTGACGTCGATGTTAAGCATTTATCAACCATGGGATAGGGGAATATTTCTTCGAATTTGAGTAAAGGAGTATCTGAATGACCATGAGATGATCCCTTGGGATTAGAAGGATCTCGTGTCCTATCTCCAACATAGATTCCTGGAAGGAGACTTGGGGTAATAGAATGGAACTTACAAGCAGGTTCTTCGGGATGGAAGGAATCTTCTGATTTAATCCCGATGAGAACTTCTGACCAAACATTTGGGGTATCAGAACAGAACTTTTCAGAAGGTTCCTCAGAATTCAAAGGATCTGGTGACCTCTCGAAACTATGAACTCCTATGTAAATATTTGGGGTATTGGAATGTAACCTATCAGAAGGTTCCTCAGGATTGGAGAGATCTCCTGAGCCATCCACACTGAGAACTCCTGTATATATTTTTGGGGTATCAGTATGAAGTTCAGAAGGTTCCTCACGATTAGAAGGATCTAATGATTGACCCACCACGTAAAGTCTGTGATCTAGATTTTCAGCAGCATGCTTTACTTCTGGGGAATATTGTATGATCCTATTATCTACAGCGTTATGAACTGGAGAGGACATAATATGATCCTTCGAGATATTCCAGATAGAAGGTCCATCTGTTGGAAAGAGATTTTAAATGATTAACGTACAAATTGCATTTAGTAGTAAGCATCATCACACATCTCTGGTGTGGAATTCAGTAGACTCATAATGCCAGTCTATGACGTTATATTGAGGAATGGAGATGGACCTTTCATATGGTGTCCAGTATCTCCTCCTCATTTGTTGGGAACATGACGTTATATTGAGGAATGGAGATGGACCTTTCATATGGTGTCCAGTATCTCCTCCTCATTTGTTGGGAACATGACGTTATATTGAGGAATGGAGATGGACCTTTCATATGGTGTCCAGTATCTCCTCCTCATTTGTTGGGAACATGACGTTATATTGAGGAATGGAGATGGACCTTTCATATGGTGTCCAGTATCTCCTCCTCATTTGTTGGGAACATGACGTTATATTGAGGAATGGAGATGGACCTTTCATATGGTGTACAGTATCTCCTCCTCATTTGTTGGGAACAGGACATTATGGGGATTTCTTAATCTCCTTAAAATACTGCATTTACACTCAATGTCACTACAATGTAACAACAACCTGGTCTCCCCTTACCTGGTGACGTGAAGGTCTCCTCATTTTCCACTTTAACATTTTTGAAGAGATCCTTGTGTCCTTCTAAATACTCCCACTCCTCCATGGAGAAATAGACAGCGACATCCTGACACCTTATAGGAACCTGACACACACAATGATACAGTCACCATCCAGACACATCCCTTGTCTATTACTGGAGAATGTCCCAGAATTCCCGGCACCGCTCACCTCTCCTGTCAGCAGCTCCGTGATCTTACTGGTGACGTCTAGAATCTTCTGCCTGTTTTTTCTTTAAGGGTTAGGAAGTGAGGAACTGTGATGGTCACCTGGTTGCCAGGCGTAACAAAAGGAAAAATCTGCATTGAAAAAATAGAATTAAAGTCAAATAACCCTCCCAGAATCCTCCTCACCTCTCCAGTCAGGTCTGTGTTTTATTAATAGAGAGTAGAGTGATGTCATGTGACCTCCCAGAATCCGCCTCACCTCTCCGGTCAGGTCTGTGTTTTATTAATATGTGACCTCCCAGAGATGAGAGTGATGTCACGTGACCTCCCAGAATCCTCACCACCTCTCCAGTCAGGTCTGTGTTTTATTAATAGAGATGAGAGTGACGTCATGTGACCTCCCAGAATCCTCCTCACCTCACCTCTCCGGTCAGGTCTGTGTTTTATTAATAGAGATGAGCATGATGTCATGTGACCTCCCCAGAATCCTCCTCCTCTCCGGTCAGGTCTGTGTGATGTCATGTGACCTCCCAGAATCCTCCTCACCTCTCCGGTCAGGTCTGTGTGATGTCATGTGACCGCCCAGAATCCTCCTCACCTCTCCAGTCAGGTCTGTGTTTTTTTTAATAGAGATGAAAGTGATGTCATGTGACCTCCCAGAATCCTCCTCACCTCTCCGGTCAGCAGGTAGATGATCTCCAGGGTGAGGTTTAGTATCCTCTCAGTCATGTGACTCTGCTTCTCATCCATCCTCATTGGTCATGTGATCTATGACCTCCGCGTTTCCTTATAGCTCTGAAGAAGTCAACATTTACCTGTCAATGCTGAAGACAAAACAGAATTCAAATAATTTACCCAGAGGAGCCACTTTCCCCGCATTTGTCTTCTCAGCTCGGTCTGTGGTTGCAGGTGTTTGTAATTGGCTATCATGAGATTAGCAGAATCTTTTTTGTGGTCTTTTTCAATATTTGACCTGAGTAACAGGGTGTCGTTGTAATCATATACTTCATTGTAATATATATCTGAGTGTATCAACATCTGCTGGAGATAAAAGACATCCTGTGACGGTGGAGGGAGAGGGCGGGCGTGACAGTGGAGGAAAAGGATGGACATGATGACGGAGAAAGAGGACGGGCGTGACGACGGAGGAAGAGGACGAACGTGACAGTGGAGGAAGAGGACGAACGTGACAGTGGAGGAAGAGGACGAACGTGACAGTGGAGGAAGAGGACGAACGTGACAGTGGAGGAAGAGGACGGACACGATGATGGAGGAAGAGGGCGGACAATCACGTTGGAGGAAGACGGCGGACGTGACTATGGAGGAAGAGGGTGAACGTGGCAGTGGAGGAAGAGGATGAGCATGACGATGGAGGAAGAGAATGAGCATGACTGTGGAGGAAGAGGACGGACGTTATGATGTTGGAAGAGGGACGGACATGACAATGGAGGAAGAGGACAGGCATGGCTGTGGAAGAAGAGGACAGACATGATGGGGGGTTACTGGGTGTAAATATAAAATCAGATCTTCTTACCTCCTCTGCTGCCACTTCCAGCAATGTCTCCTCTCTACTTCCTCCTGACTCACCTCTCACCCGGAACTTCCTACTTATACCTGACATCACTTCCTGTCTGTGTGCCTAGGAGCAGTTAAAGTACCTGATGTCGCCATCTTCTGGAGAGTACAAGAACCGCAGTGTTCATTTATTGTGGTTAGCCTGACCAGTAGCGGATGATGTTTTCTTCCACAATGATCTGTAATAATTTATATTCGTAGTCACAACGATAATAACCCATAATGTCCTTCTTTCCAGACTCTGTCCATGAAAGTCGTGGACTACAATGTCTAAACACGGCCTTCTCTGAACATCAAGGACACCCCGGAGCTTCTCAAACTAGAATCCTGTATCATTCCTATGCTGTGTTGACAAACTCACTTTGTGGCATGGCCTGGCATTATATCCATAATGTTCTAGACATCTCCTGAAGATGTGGTTGCAAGTCTACGAAACACGTAGTGATGACCATAAAAATGTGTTGGTTATAGCATCCCCTGAAGAAGTGGTTGCAAGTCTATGAAATGTGTAGTGATCTCATTGACCATAAAAATGTAGTGTTGGTCATAGCATCTCCTGAAGAAGTGGTTGCAAGTCTATGAAATATTTAGTGATCCCAGTTGGATATAGCATCTCCTGAAGAAGTGGTTGCAAATTACAAAACGCCTAATGATCCCATTGACCATAAAAATGTAGTGTTGGTTATAGCATCTCCTGAAGAAGTGGTTGTAAATTATGAAACACGTAATGATCCCATTGACCATAAAAATGTAGTGTTGGTTATAGCCTCTCCTGAAGAAGTGGTTGCGAGTTTACGAAACGCGTAGTGATGACCATAAAAATGTAGTGTGTAGTGAAGAAGTGGTTGGTCATAGTGCATCTCCTGAAAAAGTGGTTGCAAGTCTATGAAATACGTAGTGATCCCAGTTGGTTATAACATCTCCTGAAGAAGTGGTTGCAACACTATGAAACCAACCCTAATAAAATATCCATTTTGACGGGACTTGACACGGATTGTATTGCTACCCCTCCAGCGAGGTTTATATTCTTCTATACCCCCAACAAGCCAAGGAGGATCGATCTTCGTTGTGACGTGTAGCGAAGTATACTGTAAATACTATGTTTCATAAAACCTTTCTCAATGTTTTGTATGTGTTCTCTTCACCTCTTCCAAAGGGGTCTCGTAGTTCTTCCAATTTACTGTAAGCCGCACGGGCACTGGAGGACATAGACGACCCCTTCAGTACAGCAAGAGATAAAGTCATCGATTATATACTCAGTTCCTGTGGTAGGTGAGGAGAGCGTGTTGCTTTTAGTACTCTTTTCTTTGTCTCAACACCTTTTGCAAGGAAAGAACCCATTTTTATTAAAGAAGATTTTTTTTTTCAGGGGAGGATCAACCACATTCTTCTGTCTCTCAGGGGTTGGGGCTCTCCTGTATGGAAATTTAGGAGATTGAGGAAAAATTCTGTTTCCAGTTTCCATCTCTTAATATCGGCCAATGTTTCCTGAAGATCTTCTTAGGTTGGCTATTGTCATCTACAACGAATGATACTTAACTCTTCTCACTCAATTACCTTCGAACAAGGTCACCAAATGTCCTGGCCTTTTCCATAATAGAAGTCTCGGGATTGCCTTTGTTAATATTTATTTTTTATTTTATTAATTTTTTCATTTTTTGTTATACATTTCACACATCATTTGGATTGAGTGGCTCAGCCAGATTTTTCTTTTTTTGATTTACTATTGATGTTACTCGTTTCACAGATTTATTCAATTACACATCCGGTGTGATGCTCAGGCGGGTGTTTATTTATTAGTTGTTTGGGTCACTAGGGGGCAGTGCAGCACTATCCTTGGGGAATTCTGTAAATGCATAACGTTCCATATATAGTTTTATATATATATTAAAAAAAAAAAAACCAATATATACAGTGGGGCAACATACCAGCAACAGTGTGTGCCAACCTTGTGAAGACTTACAGGACACGTTTGACCTCTGTCATTGCCAACAAAGGATATATAACAAAGTATTGAGATGAACATTTGATATTGATCAAATACTTATTTTCCACCATAATTTGCAAATAAATTCTTTCCAAATCAGCCAATGTGATTGTCTGGATTTTTTTTCTCATTTTGTCTCTCATAGTTGAGGTCTACCTATGATGCCAATTACAGGCCTCTCTCATCTTTTTAAGTGGGAGAACTTGCACAATTGGTGGCTGACTAAATACTTTTTTGCCCCACTGTATATATATATGTCAATAGTAAAAAAAAAAAATAATAAAAAAAAGGCGGGTGTTTATTAATTGTTTGGGTCACTAGGGGGCAGCGCAGCACTATTCTTGGGGAATTCTGCTAAATGCATAACATTCCATATATATATATTTATTTATTTTCAATTTTTTTTTTACTATTGACATTACTCGTTTCACAGATTTATTCAATTACACATCGGGTTTGATGCTCAGGAGGGTGTTTATTATTAATTGTTTGTGTCACTAGGGGGCAACGCGGCACTATCCTTGGGGAATTCTGCTAAATGCATAAGGTCCCATATACCTAGAGATGGATGGTAGGCAGGGCCAGTGATATTGATGTGTTTATATTTCTATTGCTCTACAACACAGGTCCCATGAGGCATTGCAAGATTGACAGTTACAAGCATGACTCTCAAAGGGTAGAGGTATGATGGTACTTGTAGTTCACCAACAGCTGGAGGGCGACCAGTCTGACACCCCTGATCTCAAAGTACACCTCCATGCATCTCCGGAAGTGCCTGCCAGTCTACGAAACGTCTAATGATACATACAACCCAACAGACACAGCAACCCCCTCTGCTACGTAACGGACCAGATCAGTATCCCAGGAGTTTAACGATGGGACACTATTCCTCCCACTGATACGAATGATGGGGCACTATTCCTCCCAATGACACCAACGATGGGACACTATTCCTCTCAATGACACCAAAGATGGGGCACTATTCCTCCCACTGACACCAACGATGGGGCACTACTGCTACCACTGACACCAACGATGGGACACTACTCCTTCCACTGACACCAACGATGGGGCACTATTCCTCCCACTGACACCAACGATGGGGCACTATTCCTCCCACTGACACCAACGATGGGGCACTATTCCTCCCACTGACACCAACGATGGGGCACTACTCCTACCACTGACACCAACGATGGCACACTACTCCTTCCACTGACACCAACGATGGGGCACTACTTCTCCCACTGACACCAACGATGGGGCACTACTCCTGCCTCTGACACCAACGATGGGGCACTATTCCTCCCAATGACACCAACGATGGGGAACTATTCCTCCCAATGACACCAACAATGGGGCATTAGTCCTCCCAATGACACTAACAATGGGACACTATTCCTCCTAATGACATCAACAATGGGGCACTATTCCTCCCAATGACATCAACAATGGGACGCTATTCCTCCCAACGACACCAACAATGGGGCGCTATTCCTCCCAAAGACACC